TTCAACTCAGACAAGCAGTTCAGAGAAAACTGAGAGAACCTCAGAGAAAACTGCAGTGCTCATGGTTATGAGGGTGCAATGTGTAGCTGACCATTAAGAAATGAGGCTGGTGCAAGTGACCAGAATGGCAGAGTTGTTGCTGGTTGGCAAGCATTGCTGAAAATCTGAAAACATCACTGATGCCACCTTAAACACTTCTTTCCTGCTCTAAATATATGGATGATAGGAACAGTGATTTGCTCAAAACTCAATAAAAGAGAGGAGAAAAAAGCTTTAATGCATATGTAAAATTTCTCAGATGTGTAAAGTGCTTTTTAATCCACTTATTCCAGATTGACATTATTGCTTTGAAGCAGTGTTTGTTACTTGTGGTTTCTAGATCTGACCAGAAAGAGAAATACTGCAAGTATTGCAAAAGATACATTGCATTATCTTAGGCACTTTAGTCATTGAGATGCAATGAAAACACATTCACAATACAATTCTGCCTAGCAACACGTTGAGAACTTGCTGTCCACAAGAGAGTCTGGCAACATAGTAAGGAAGAAATAGTCATCTTTTAGCTATACCTATGTTTGGGAATGTTAGCATAAGTGGGTTTGCTTTGACTCATTTACTAAAAATAACATTTTTTCCCAGAGAAAAGTTCAGCTTCTGGATTAGTCAAAGGGATAAAAATGTGCTGATAGTACCAAGAGCAATTACAAGTGAAGTTCAACAAGAATTCATTATCATTGTGTATTCCTATACTAGAACATTACGCAGGACAGGTATTGTAACTGGAGTTCAGACACAGATGTATGCATTTGATTTTTTCACGAAATGAAGAGATTATCAGGGCTCAAACAGTGTCACGTCTCAGTAGCAGCTATGTGAGCCATAAACCTGAAGGAATTATTTTAGCATAAATAATTTGTTACAGTAATGTCTGCAAGCACAGCACAGTTAGAGTTTACATACGCTTGCAAGAGAAACCAGGCACCTTAGCTGACCTTTTCCTTTTCCGCTACTACTACAGTGAACCATTTCCAATATAAATTAGTTTATCTTTACAATAACTCAGCATAGTTCTTGCTGGTGAAAGCCATGTAATAATATATATAAAAAGGTTCAGTAAACGGTGTTCAGGGAACTATAGTGTTAGTGCTTGGGAGCAAGATGGATTTTATGCCCTTCGTTCCTTGCTTTTCAGTTGCTCATCATCTACTGTCCACAACAGGCACTGGTGGAGAAATGGGAGATGCTGTGGCTTAGACCAAAAACTGTACAGGCTCTCTCTGGGTCCATCTTTCACTGATCACTGTGCTCAGCTCACTTCTAGTCCAAGCTTTGACTTCCTGGCCCTTTATGTGACATTGGGTCCAGATGCTTTCTTGACCCCACTGCATCATGTGTCACAAAGAGGAACACTACATGGGTAACAAAACAATATAGACTTATTTCAATTAATAAAGACCAGACGTGCTTTCTTGAACTGTAATAACAGGTTTTTGCAGAGCCTGGTTTGTTTATAGACCTCTTGTTTTCCTCACATTTATTCAGTCTCTGTTCCAGCCTTACCTGCTCTCTCAGTATCTTGTATTACTCATCTCTATTTCCATTCAGTTTAATAACTTGCCTTTCACATTTTCACCCCACAACTTATTTTTGGTATTATTACATATATTCTTGGAGTTTGTTTCTGTCTGTGTAAACAAGGGCAAAGGAGAAAGGCTATACAGTGGAAAATCCTAGTTGAAAATGAATGCTGCTTTGTTTATTTCAAGCTTCAATGGGATTATAGATGCATACCCATCCCAACACACTCAAATGACAAAGGACAAATGACAGTCACCATTGTCCCTACTGCTCATTCGTCCCGCTGGTCTCCACCCTATATCCGATATGGCTGAAACAACTGAGAAAGCCAACATATTCTATTTACCCTTATACAAACTTACCATCGTCATTTTAAGTTAAATCATAAAATCCAAAAGTGTTCTAGCTGCTTTATGTTACAAATAATAATGTAAAGTCACTGTTCAAAAGCACACAATTGTGTTTTAGAACCTTTGTAATCAAAACAATTAACAGTTATGAAGGGTTCATGAATGCTGGAAAACAGTTAAATAAATACTAACTCCTACTCCATGCATCTTTTGGCAGTTCCCCTAAATGCAACCTTTAAAATTGCTTGTGTCCTATAACCTCTGCTGCTGTTTCAGGTACAGAAGCACGTAATGGTCTTAAAGGGACCATCTGTAAGAATAAGCATTCACCCATGACAAAATTAATGATAGTTCTTACTATTCTATTAATTAGTTCTTATTCAGAACTTTTTATCAACAGATCTCAGTGTTCTACAGGGGATGTCTTTATAAGAATAAGGCATATGTATTTCAGAATAATGCAATTTCACTATTTGCATTTTGTGGGATTTCACCATTTTCTTCAGAATTATTTTGTGGGATTTCACCATTTTCTTCAGAAGGATGTTCCCTTAATAGATCTAATTATAAAGTGTCTTACTATTTAATCAAAACTTTCTTTGCTGAAATTTCAACTAATTATTTCTCATCTTGTCACTTTTGGTTAGCAAGAACAATTCTGTTCTGTCCTGCTCACAAGAAAGCAGTAACTTTTCTAAGCTGTGGAAAACACCCGTGTAGCATCTTTAATTGCAGACCTACACAAATTATCACAACAGTTAATTACCAAATTCTCCACAACTCAATTGCACTTCCCATTGAGGGATCTCTGAGTGCCTGAAAAATGTTAGCACATTTAATGTAAATAACCTGACATGCCATGCATTGCTGTCAGCTTCATCCTGTGAAGGAGGACGGGGACCACAGCTGCTGATAATCCCCTTTCCTTACCACAAAACCTTCCCACTTATGTGTGCAGCATTATGGCTTACCAAAAAGACAATTTTAAAGATAGAAGCAGCATATTTTATTTCTTCGAAATATAATTCCAAGATAAAACACAGAACATATCCCACTGGGTTAAACAGAAGTTCTATGTTGAAATATGTACATCCTTTGAACATTTATTTCCACCGTCTTAGATACGCTCCTATAAGAGGTCAGCTGCAAAGAAAGGTGAAAAAGCAGGGGAGCCTAAATAGCCCAAATTTTATTTCCTATGCTCATATAAAAGCTTTATGATTCCTTCTTTCCTTTCCCATATTTATATTAAAACAGGTAAGATTGAAAGGTGGCCCTATATGAGGTGCTCCGGGATTTTTTTGGAGACTCAGCTAGTCTATCTTTCAGGCAGAATCAGGACTTGAGGGTTATAATTTAGCAAATCCCATTAGACTGAAAACAAAAGAAATGTCTGAGAATAAAGTCAGGTCTAAAATGACTAAATCTATCCTCTCTTTTCTCTAAATAAAAACAATACAAATTTTACCAATTTGTAGCATCCTTGAAGCAACAGCACATACTAAAAGGAGCCAAAATTAGGATTTTCATCATCTGTCATTCTATCAGTCTTTTTTCCATATAGTTTTCTATAGTGAACAAGACCTAACCAGGCTGGCAGAGGGGAATATTTCAAGTTAAATGAGGAAATACTATAAAAGCATATTAGAATGGTGCAAAGATGAGGTTCAAACACATATGCAACACAGTGTCCATCTTTCTCCCCTTCTACAGCACAGTATTGCCTGAGCTTTTTCTATTACCTCCTGGACTCCGTTTCTCAGTGGTATTACAAATGGGCCCTATGATGGGTGCTCAAGTGTTGTTTAACTGGTTTTGCTTTGTAGGAGAATCCGATCGTAGGATAACTCTAAGCACTTCTTTTAACTTCTGTCATTTCTCCCAGTTTCACATCCCCCATTCTTTCATGAAACACAACAACAGTACAAAATTACAGCACGAAGAAATGCGCTATCACACAATACACTGGACAAAAAAAATGAGGCAAGGAAATGACCATTAAGTCTAAATTTCTGCTGTTTCATTTATAAAATAGTCAATCTTCTCTCTTGTTAATTACAAGGAGATATAGCTGGCAGTCATAGGCTATTTTCTGTAATAACTATTTTGTATGTTTCCTTTAATTTCCTCAGTTCAGTCTTCTAAATTTTGCCCAGAATAATACCTTATAAAAGCACACTAATCAAATGCTCCATTAGCTGCTTTCTTTTTTTACTTCTGTCTTGGCAATGCCACTTAGAATTCAAAGTACAGAAATGGTAGTACACCAGCAACTATGAAGGACTTGGAAATGCTCTGCATGAAGGGCGCTCTAAAAATTCAGCACTGAAACTGTAACCTTTACTTGTGACCATAACTGTTACCAGCACTTGATCACAAAATGACACATGCTATTTGTTTTTCCACTGAATTTAAGTATTTTTAGATTAGTTTAAAATACACACATGAAAACAACACGTGAATAGAACTCAGGAATACAGTTTTAGCTGACAAAACCTTACAATTGTAGGTTAGAATAACAAAATGATCTAAATTTCTAAAAAAAGAGCATAATTTCTGGTTTACAAAAACTTGCAAAACATGGGCATTTTTAACCCTTGTTTTTTTCCAGTCTTTTCAATGCACTGAAATAAACTTGAGATTAAAAGCGTTGTGAAGATATGCATTGATTTAAGGATGTTTCTCTTAATGTAGATGAAATTGAACAAACAAATATGGAAATATGTCGTCCCCCTTTCCAAATCACTAAGATGCAAAAAATATTAACTGTTAGATTTGGTGTTATTTTCTTCTTAATCTTGAGACAATTTTCATTACTGAGACAAGTGGCTTGGATTATTGGTTATAGTATCACATTGGATTTTCACAAAATAGTCTGTCTTCAGACAGGACATAATATAACATAAACCAAAAGAATAACCTTTTGTAAACCTCTAATTACGTATTTGCAAAGATTTAAAGAGCAACGCACAAGAAACTTTTAATCTTTCTTGAAATCTTACTGATGATTTCAAGAAGCTTAACTATTGTAGAGATATGTAAGTTATTTTAAGAATAAAAACAGTGTCTTACTTGGTCCTCAAAGGAGATTGCCTGGGCAACATCTCTGGGAAATCCATCAATCACTATACCCTCTTCATCGGGGATCTGCATTAATCTCTGCTTTATCTCAGTTATGGTTGTTTCCTTTCAGAAAGAAAAGAAATTATTTATTTAATATCGTAAAGGTGGTTTTTTTGATGGTGCATATTAATACAGCATGCACAAATCCTTTGAAAGTAAACATTAACACAGGATACGCTGTACCTGAGGGGCCAGTTCTCCAGTAGTAATTATTTTGGCAATTAGACTCCATTTTCTATTACTGCTTGTGCTGTGGATCTTCTTCCTCAACAATTCACCAACTGATATGTAGTTAAATCCATAACGTTCCGCTATTTTCAAACTCTGTGTTCCTTTACCACTTCCTGGGCCACCTATTGGTAATTGTAAGCAAAACATTAAATTAATCTTTCATCTGAGGTACACAATCACACGTGAAATCTTTGCTATCAGCATCAATTTTCCAACCGTTATTACAGCAAATCTTGCAGTTGCACAACTTGTTACCAGCCATTTAGAAATGAGTCTCACTACCTGATCATAAAGGTAACAGTTTGTAAAAAGAAGTAAAAAACCAGGAAGACAAATCTGCTGGCAAAATCAAAATTAACATGTTCTTTTAGGATTGACCTCATTGTAAAGCTGTTCCTGGAAAGGAATTTTTCTTGATTTCTAGTAGAGGAAAAAACTGGTCCCTTCCTGAACTCTGTTAATCCAAGGATAGAGCCAGATAGTCTCAAGCATATTCATGTCAGAAAGAATCATATTCAGTTAAAGAATGGACTAGTCATGAAATGAAACTAATAAAATCTGCTTCTAAATATGCCTGCATGAGTTTCTGAGGTTTTCTAATTTTAAAATACAGAAAAATATTAAATAATCAGCTGAGATGTTTCCATAGTGATTTGGTACAAGGACTTTTATTGAACCACATATACTTCTGGTATTGATGTTTCCAGCACCTGATAGAGAAGCGATTTTTTAGGTTCAGTTTGCTGGACAACTTGAAGAATAAAGAGACCCTTCAGTATAGCACAGGCAGGATAGGTATCAAAATCACAGAAAACAGCTACACTATAAAGCAGGGAACGCTGGAATGAAGGTCAGCTGGACAGCAGGAGAGAGAATGCACGTAAAAAAATCAGACACTGTCTGATTTTAAAAGGATGGGAAAAGCAGAGAAACTGGAATCCAGTATGTAAAAATAGGGAGTTTTTCTGATAAAAATGAATGTTTATATATAGAAAAATGTATGTTACTGAACAGCATAACAAAGCAAAACCAAAACAAATGTGTTTATATTAATTCCCACCACTATATTTTGTGTAAGATCATTGAATTTTATTTCAACAGACAAAGAATTAAGATTTATGAAAAATATAATGTAAGTTTTCCATGAATTTAAAAAAATACAGCAATGCAATGAAAGTGAATATGAATACAATGAGCTTCTTGTTAGTAATTGTGTAACTCTTTCTTATATTATCTGCATTATTCCCATAAATATCTTTTAGGCACTTATATAATGCAGATTTGATTGTAAGATAAGCTTTACAATATTTCTTCCTATATAGTTATGATACTCTCTGTGTAACCAGGTAAAAACCCATGCCCCAATATGGCGTGTCTGAGAGCTTTTAGTGTCACCAGTAACCACTAGGAACTCTTCTGTCCCCCTGACACTGTGATGGTAACTCCCCACCTGGCCTTCAAAACCCAGATTGGGACCCATTTCCAGAGAATGCAGAGGGAAACTTGTGTATTGTTAAGGTGTTCCCATAACCCACCCACAGTTAGTCATACTCTTGGGAAGAAAAAGGCTTTATCATGATCTAATTAGTTTAAATAATGCTTAAAACAAGCCAGGTTAAGATAAATGCAAATATAAGCATTTATCTGTAACATCCAACTATTCAATACAGCTACAGATGTTCATAAAACACACAAGCATAAAATGAAAGAAAAACAGTATCTTATCTCTGCACAATAAGGATACAGCTGAAAAATATTTTTTCCTTATTCAGTTCACTTGCTGTTTCTCTTCTAAAAAGGCACATGCGTTCTCTCTTCTTTCAGCAGATTATGTTAGGTTTTATAGCTATGCTTCCATTTTGGTTTTTGTAGGTGATCTAGATGAGCTTAATGTTTTCAGCTTGAACTCCTTTCATTGACAGTTTAGCTATCCTCTTCATTAGAATAAAGGAGGTCTGCCTTTTGTAGATACACAAGCATCTTATAGCTGAGGAATCATCTCCCCCACTAAAGTGGCTACAAAGCAATTCTGCTTTGACTCTTCCTGGCCCCCTTTGATGGTACACTCAGCTTTCCCACGACAAATGCGTTTCACTGAACCCTACATTGTGTTTCACAGACATCTGTGTATCAAAAACCTGAGACACATGTTCAAACAAGACAATTCCATGTAGTTTTTCGCCAGAAGAATGAATAGGACATTCCTCGTTACTGGAATGTCTACTCACTCTCTGTAAAGATTTCCGTAAGCAACCTTCTCTTTAGATATCAAGCCACATCTTGCAATCTAATGAACATAACATTTAAATAATATATCTTATATGTGTGTGTGTTTATATATGTGTGTAACATTCATTAATATGAATTTATGTGGTTTTATTTATGGGCAATGATCCCAACTACTGGAGAAAAAGGGCAGGTAGGTTGTGACTGTGCTTCAGAGCAGAGGGCTTATAAAACACACTGGAGCCATTGCTGTGCTTAATTACTGCAGATACAAAACTTCCAAGGAATTCCAAATGAATTTTAATTCCCTGAAGACTTAAGACAAGTTTGAAACATAATATGTTGCACCCCAGAAACAATAAAAATGCAAACATACATAGGTGATGTGTAGGAAATTAGAAAATCTGACACGGAAAATAGTATCCATATATTCCAGCAGAGATAAAAAAAGCTGCCAGAAAAACAGAACTGTTACTTGAAAAAACGTGTTTCTGTAAAACCAAAAAATAGCTGAAAAAAACCCTTTTTGAAACCAAGTAAATAGACTTTACACTCCTGTTAGGGAGAGCTTTGCTTTGCCATTAAAGGGAAATAGAAAAAAAAAGTGTGGTTCTGTGTGGTACTCCTGTTCTTTCAATATAGAGTTGCAAGCACAAAAATCCCAATAAAGTATTTGCTTTAATGTTCATAAACTTCTCATATATTTTGGTTTTCTCAGTCCAAAAATAGCCCTTTATAGCAAACTGGGATTATCCACTTACAATCTAACGGGAAACATTCAGGTAATAAAACAAAAGAAAAGTGATAGGACAAAATTACGTCTCACTGCAAATTTTATGATTTATTGAACTATTTATCCATTCCTGACTCTTTGATAAACATACTGACAAACCGTCCACAAGAATGGAAAATCAAATAATTTTTGTTTTTCATTCTTTCCACTTATTCTGAGATTATACATTATTCAAGAAAAGCATGATTATTTTACATATTTCTTAGAAGATGTCTAGACTGGGGAACAGTTGTTGCATCTAAAATTGCATCTAAACAGTTGTTGCTAACTGGTTTCAAGTGAAGATTTGTATGCCCAAAAACTTTTACTACAGCAGTTGTTCTAATCTAGTTTTGTCAATGGAGTTCAAAATTTTAATTTAGCTTATATTGTTGTAAATTGAAAATAAAGTAATGTAGTAAGATTTCTGAAATGCCACGATTTTAAAACCTCGCCAACTGCTGAAAGCGCTATCGTTGACGTATTCTTTAAACTTTGATTATAAAAGGGAAACATATTCTTTTCATATTAACTAGTATTTTAAATTAAGTGCAGTTTAAAAACGTACTGAACTATGGGACTAATTACACCAAGTAATTAATTTTTTAAGACCTTTGTATTCAGGCTATATCAATAGTAAAAATGTGTTTGTCAAAATCTATTAGGAAGCACGTTTTTAAAAACAATCTAGTTTCCTGGTGTTATAACACCTTAGAAACGTAATTTTCCACTGATTCAGATGTGTGCCATCCTGGCTGGTTCCATCTGATTTTTTTAAAATCCAGTCACATACACACTTTGCAGGTTTGTAGCTTTACATTTCTCTAGAAGACTTTTCTGCAAACACAGAAAAAGAACAAACCCCTCACCTTTATAAGTGAGTTCTCTTTTGCCTTGGAACTACCTGGGTTATTATAAGGATGAAAGACTTCATAAAGTAAAGAAGCTGTAAAAACCTTTATGGAAGCATTAAAAAGATCTTGGGCTAATGCATTATTAAATAAAAGTTCACCTAATAAGTGAAGCAGAAGACAGGTCTGTAACTTCTACTCATTTCAGTCCCCAACAATGAATGGGACCAGTACCACCTGAACCAGGCAGTACGGTTAGTTAGTGCTAGTTAGACAGAAATAGCTTACTTAACTGAAGATTTCACTGGCGTTTTATGCAAACTGAAAAATATGCAACACATTTTTCGTGTACAATATTTGTCTCTTGAAATTCATAGCATGTTTTTTTTTTTCATTTTCTCTCTTTCATTCACTATATTAGATACTATTTTATTCTTCCCAGAGTGCGTTTTTATGTGCTTTCTCAATAGAAAGTTGAATTTGGGAGAATTTTTCTTGATGGTGTACAAAATTGGACAATAGCTGCTATGCTACATATAGTACTGTGCTTCTGTCACACAGTAATCGACGGATTCAGAGAAACTCAGTTGGAAAATAAACCTGAAATAGCGTTTGTGGAATGTTTACAATGTTCCCTATATAAATGGGGGAAAAGAAAATCACTGCAAAATCCATGGTCTGTTCACTATATGCTGGTGTTCAAGGATTTCACTTAAACACCCCTGCGCTCAGTTCCAGAGGTGAAAGCCAATCTCTTTTTATTTCACCTAGTTCAAACCTTCATTCATCACCCCGCTGCAATAGCGCTACATGGATTTCAACGCATTAAGAGCCTTCTGCAGTCACTGAAAAGGAGCCAGTTTTTCTCTTTTATGAAAAGAAAGGCTAGCTAATTAATTAAGATGAAAGAAAGGCATGTGTTATTTCTCCATCTAATGCAAGCTTTATAGTTCAACGATGCATGGAGAGATCTGCATGTTGAGGTTTGTAATTCCAAAACAAAAGAGTAAGAATATTCAAATGCCTGAGCAATTCTTTTGGCATATTACAAATATCTATAAAAATGCCTGGGTTTCTGTTTTCAATATATTCCAACAACACATTTCTGAGAACTGCTGGACGCAGAGCCTAGAGGACATGCTGTTCTTAGAGATCCCACTCTATAATACAGAGAAGACGTTTCTATTCTCTTTTACTATACTACATAATATTCTCTGTTATGGAAGCAATATCTCTCTTTAATATAAATAAGGCTTTATAGACTAAAAATGTGATTCTCCATCACCTGGCACCCGTGCTGTCACTGTTTGAATAGTCCAGAGAACCAGAGAATTATGCTTGGTGCTAAAATTTCGAAAGACAACTATCCCACATGACAAGGAAACTAATTCAAAGAATTTAAGTTCAGAAACAGAATAAAGCATTTAGACTTCAGCTGCAGCTATTTCTTAATAAACAGTATGCTTGTCTGAGGCTGGAAAGTATGAGTTGCTTAGAAAGGTTACTTAACAGCACCCAAGAGAGAACCTGAGGAGAGAGCGCAATTAACTGATGCTAACTGATCTCTCACTCTCCCTGAAGATGGCTCAGGATTCATTTGCCAAATAGAGCTAGGGATTGATTTATCAATGCAATGGACTAGTGACCATGTATGCTCACCCCAGCTGGACCCACTGATCAGTTTTCAATGTTCTAAATATAGAGGACAACAGTTCCCCATCACCTTTTTGAGCTGGCCTATCCAATATTTTTAAATATCCTTTTTTGTCAGCAGCTTTGAGTACACCTATGATAGTGTTTTAGTTCAGATCCAGAGCAGGTTTTGGAAGAGAACTTTGGTTCACATGGTGGGGCTGTCTTGAAATGTATGAGCTGGGTTTGCTTTAGCCTAAATCAAAACAGATGTGCTCCATGAGCAAACCACGAGCTCTCCAGCTGCTAAGGGGCATCGAGTCTACAGAACATGACCACAGGTGCTCGCTGTAACCCCAAAATGCTTACACTTGGGATGCTTTATCCCCAGCACTAACAATTTTCCTTTCTGATGTACTCTAATTGGGCTGCACCACTTGCTAAGGCAGATGGAAAAATTGTACTTAAACACATGCAGGCGTTCAATGTATTTGCAGTACGAATCAAAAAGGCAAAGTAACAAAGATAAAATCTTGTCAAAATGACTCTGCCTTCATACCTATGACAAGGATAATTTTTGGTCGAGGTCTTGCAGGATCAAATACATCGTACTCCTCAATTAGCTCAGCAGTTTCAGAGAGGTCGGTGTCGCTTTCTATCGAAAACTGTTGGATGGGAGGGAGTCGGTCATACCGTCGGTATGGGAAGTTAGAATTGTCAGGCATCACTGTAAAATAGTAAGATAAACTAGGAATTGTGTAAATTACACAGAAAACTCAAAATCTGTTGTGTACACAGATTTAAGTAATTGTAATAAACAAAGCATAAATATCTCCTATTTTTACAATGTGCTCGCTGTTACTACATGAAATATTCTTTGCCTCTATTTAGCTGATTTATTTAATTGGAACCACCAGGCAGGAGTCACTTCTCTTTGGTGTTTTTAACAAGCACATCCACTTTTCTGTGAAAATCTGTCCATAGCACACAGACTTCAACAGTGGCCTCTGAGAAGAAAAGCATCGTATTGTGCAGATAACCTGTACTATTAAGCAGAACTCTTCTGGTGATACATGCTGTACACAGAGACAGAGATAGTATTCTTGCTAATTAGATTAATGAAATGCGGGATGGCAAGGAAGAATAACTATGGCAACGGAAAGATGAGCTAATTACCCTTTGTTAACATTACAAATAAAATAATTACAGGTATTGGTATGATATTTGCTTAGATTTTATGAGATACACTTTTTCCTAAGTGTTTATAACTTCGATTGTATTTAGTCAATTAGCATATAGCTCCAATGTAAACTAGAAAAACAACCTAGTGTAACTGCATTGAAGTTATGTACGTTACCCATAAGGACCAACTGCAAATACAAACCAAGTGCACTGAGACAACTTTGCCCCCATCTTCGCAAATATTTTAGGTAAGATATGAGAAATCTCTCCACTAATGTGTTAAACATTTACACAGCAAACAACCCTCATTAGGCTGCAAAATGATCACAATTTCCTCTCCCGCATAGCATCCATTTGGAGAGGAGAAAAACAAATACCAAAAATGCAACGAAACAGAATCCTTGAGTCCTTCACCTAAGGAAAATCAAAATGATGCATGATCTGCTATGGATAAAATGATTCAGTAGTGGATGTAAAACCACCCACGGCACAAAAAATATGACTGTTTTTATACTTAATACATTACCATTCCTGAGAAAAGACCTCCTGGGTTGTCCTCCATTGAGTGGAGGTAGGGTCTTCTTTTCTGGGCTGACAAAAGTGTCCCATTTCACTTTTTCTGTCCCTCCAAGCTCTCTCACTTTCTGCAAGCAGCTCTCCAAATATTCAATTGGGTCATCGGGTTTGTAACACATTAATCCATTCAACAGACTCTGCAACGTAAGATCATAAATACACACTACAATGACAGATGCCAGGAAAAAACAAGCACTTTGAATTTTACTTTACACAGAGAAACCCCATATTCCTTGTGTATTCAGACTCTTCTTTTCAAGCCAGTGTGTCAGAGTGAGGCCTGTAAAATTGTAAGATTTTGGGTTGATGGTGCCACAAAAATTATTCAGAACAGGAAGCTCATGGCTATGTCTTTATATTTGTCTGCTTGCACTGTAATAAAAACTGTAAATAGTAAAAAAAGTTCCCTACATTTTTCTTAGAACTACCCCTGGCAAACATGCGCCGAGCAAGGCACAAGCCAGCTAACCCCAGCTCTGCGTAGCCTGTTACATCACCGAAACGTATCTTTTCCTGAAAGACAAGTGCACACACAAGTATCTTCTCTTGAGTCAACATGTAACCAAATAATGAAAAAAAGGATTTTTATAGTCAAATATCATCTTGATCAGTATTGGGGAAAAAAAAAACCAAAACCAAAGCCAAAGTTCACAGGTGCCTTCAGGTTTAGTTGACGAGGAATTCCCAGCCATTAGAAAAGCCCTGTCTCTGGGATCAATTCTGCACCCATGGCACCGATGGGCATCTTGGGGAGGGTGGAAGGAGGAATGCCAGGCCCTGCTCTGACGCATGGGAATTGATTTTCCTTGACAAAGTGATGTGTAAGTCATCACCTCAGCTCTCCACAACTGCATCCCACCTTCTCTAAACAGTAAATGTCTTTCAGGATGATTTCTCTTCCTTTGTACTTTTACTAATTGTTGTGCAAATATACTTGAGGGTCACAGTTGATATTAGTAATAAACATAAATAGCTCCAGTTCAGGATCTGCTCAGTTACTTGTTCGCTACAGCTTATACAATAATTATTATTTACACACATTTGTATTTCTAAAATAGGGTATAACTTATATGCATCTATGCCTTTATTATAGTATGTAACCGATGACAGCAACTAGCCAGATATTTTTGCAGAAGATACACACCATTTTTTAAACACTGCTCGCTCAAGCTTTCAGCCTCTAGAGAAAAACAGTTTTGTTTGCATCTCTTGTTAAACCATTCACATTCTAAATGTGTTAGCAAAACATTAGCGCGGTCTATGCCCTGTAATTTTCAAATACATAAAAAAATGTCTAGCTTCAGGACAGACGAGGGAAAATACATATGTGTGTGTGTGTCTGTGTGTTCTATAGAGATGGCAGGATGTCTGATTCGGGAAAAAAAAATAAATAATCCACATTTCAGAGAAGTAATTATCAACCATTAGCAGCAGGCAACTTGTGGGAAGCTCAATAAAACCTCACTGAACAGTTGTGGGGTTTTTTGTCTCCCAGCCCCATGAAAATCTGGAGGAAGCCCGAAGGATGCTCCCCCGCCCGAATTCCCGGGCAGCGCGGCCCCGGGGGTCCCCTGCCCGGCGGGGACACAAGTTCTCTCCCTCCCCGGGCGGCAGCAGGAGGGCAGGCGCGGCCGCCCGCACCGCGGCGGCGGAGGGGCGCGGCC